AAAATATTTAAAGCAAAGGTGTCTAACATGGGGGCTGTGGTTGACACCCTGGCTTCACCTTCTCTATACTGTGAGAGAGACAAGATGGTGGCACCCAATGGAGACATTACTGGGTATTTATTTACTGAACTTGCACCAATGAGTTGTTTATAAACAGAGTGGTTCATATTTGGCAGTAGTTTCAGTAAAGACTGCCAAAAGAAAGTATTGCTTTTGTATTTTGGATGGCGTTTTGTAAAAGACGAAGAATACATTTACCATCAAGACTTGCATAGTATTTCTTAATTTGTAGTTTTATTTTCCACCAATGTGCACAGTATAAATAGAACATATGGTCAGTGATGAAGTAGATTTTTTCAGTCCATTTACCAGACTAAAGGCATCAGTTACACACCGCTGCATACATAAGAGGTATACATGTAATGCCACTGGTATAGATTTTATTTGAAAACTAAACCTAGATATCTGTTTACAGTTCTCTTTAGTATCGTGAGCCGCATCTTCCTTTAGTGAGGTCATCCAGCATTCAGTACTTTCATAAATAATTACAGGTGACAGTTCCTAAAAACCACAAGCCTTTAATGCATGCTTTGTCAAGTGTTCTTGTTGTATTGCATTAATAAATGTTTAAGCAAACTTTGCATTATCTCCTTGCACAGTAGATTTTCTTTCCTTTCAACAAGAACATTGGATTTCTACAGGAACAACTAGAGTTTGTGGCTAGGAAAACAGAACTTTGTACTACTCTGCTCAGCCTTCTTCTCCTGCAACTTCGAAAAGATGTAGGGGTCTGAAAACTAATGGATAAGGTATACTTGTTTTTTTGGTTCACACAGAGCCACATTAACCACTTCACGTCCGGACACTTCCTTACCAGGCCAATTTTCAGCTTTCAGTGTTGTCACACTTTGAATGACAATTACGCGGTCATGCAACACTGTACCCATATTCATTTTTTAGCATTTTTTTTTGAGACAGATAAAACTTTATTTTGGTGGTATTTATTCACCATTGGGATATTTATTTTTTTTGCTATATAAATGAAAAAGTCCAAAATTTTTGAAAAAAAAGTGTTTTTCTTATAAAATTTTGTAAATAAATAATCTTTCTTCATAAATATTGGCCAAAATGTATTCAGTTATCTTTTTAGTAAAAAAAATAACCCAAATTAGTTTATAACCAAAAGTTATAATTTTTCAAAAAAAATTTTTTACATTTGTATTTTATTTTTTTATATTATTATTTATGGGTTTTTTTTTAACATACTGCCACCCTAGCAGTACAGTGTCACCATAGTGACTGCATTCTTGCAGACATTGAGAAATACTGTGAGAGCTGTGATTAGTCACAGCTTGTCACATGGTACAAGGTTGTTGTGAATAGCCTTGTACCATGTGACCTCTGTGATCATTCACAGATTTCACAAGTAGTAAGCAATGATGTCAGAAGTGACATCTTGCTTACACCTATTCATGTGATCACTGATTTGCCAATCAGTGATTACATGATCGGGACCTCACACAGATGTCCCATACAGCGATCAGTGTTCCGCTGTGTCTGGAGGACACAATAACCCAAATTAGTTTATAACCAAAAGTTATAATTTTTTAAAAAAAACATTTTTACATTTGTATTTTTTTTTTATATTATTTGTTTTTTTTTTAATATACTGCCACCCTAGCAGTACAGTGTCACCATAGTGACTGCATTCTTGCAGACATTGAGAAATACTGTGAGAGCTGTGATTGGTCACAGCTTGTCACATGGTACAAGGCTGTTGTGAATAGCCTTGTACCATGTGACCTCTGTGATCATTCACAGATTTCACACGTAGTAAGCAATGATGTCAGAAGTGACATCTTGCTTACACCTATTCATGTGATCACTGATTTGCCAATCAGTGATCACATGATCGGGACCTCACACAGAGGTCCCATACAGCAATTGGTGTTCCGCTGTGTCCTCCAGACACAGCGGGCACCGGATTGCGGTGCCGCGCGCTCCCAGGGAGCGCGCACAGTCCAAAATGGCAGGCGCCATTTATGAATGGCAACCGGCCCCTGCACTGCCACCGTCTGGCCGTTTACATACAGCGGCCGGAAGGGAAGTGGTTAAATCGGAAGACACAGCAATCAGTGACTAATTATGTAAAATATACTCTCTTGTTTGATTTCTCTTCTAAGATTTTAGCTAATAATTTAATCAGGGATGCCCAACCTTTTGAAGAGTGAGGGCCACTTAAGCCACTTGGTAACTGGTAGTGGGAGGATGACAGGTCTGTGTCCACTCTGCATATTCAGAGCGGACACGGACCCAACTCATTCTATTCTATGGGCCCTCCAAACGGATCTGCCCAGATGGAAGGGGACGGATCCCCTTCTGTTTTTTTCTTTAGTGGATTGGATTGTGAGTAGGCAGGTGAAAATGGACACTAGAGGTGGATGGAGGGTCCGATTTTGTCCATCTGAAAAATGGACAGGCAGACCAAATCAGACTGATCATGTGAAAGGGGCCTAAGGCTGCATTCACACTGATGTGCTGTGGTTTACCTGCACCGTGGGTGCAGCGCAATGCACCTGTGGCTTTTCTACGGGATAGCTGCACTCCATTCAGGAGTTTTGGTGCGTTTTCAGAAAGTGCAGCAAACCCGCAGGTAATAACAGATGTGTATGGCCCAGTGCAAGTAACCTGCAGGTGCATCAGTTTGAAAGCAGCCCAGAAAGAGTAACCAGCGCAGAACTAGAACAGATATGCCCATTACTATGTGGTTTTAATAAAAAATCTGACCTTTAAACACAATCTTCATTTCAGGAATCACCCTGCAGGTATCACTGTTGCTGTTCCAGGCAAAATGCATGTGGTATCACTTGGCCTGTGACAGGAGCCGCCACTGTACAGGAAGCATTGTCTCTACACCCTACTGTAGCCATATGCTTCCTCTACTGCCAGCTCCATTCTTAACACTGATGCTCTGGGATGGCGGGTCAGGAACCCACGATCCATCCCAGAGCAGAAGGTTGCAAGCCACATCAGGGAGCTGCGTGGGCCAGCGGTTGGGCATCAATGATTTTAAACAATCTCAGTATTGAAGACTTGATGTACAATCAAGTAGTTTAAAACTGCTAGTTCAGTGTATGAGGGAGATAATATATTTTTTAAATCTCCTCTGGCTATGTCAGTTTATTTTGAATTATACAGAAATTTAGCACAGCACCAAAAAAATGTAATTTTACTGAATACAGAGCAGGAAAGTCCTGAAGCTACGCATAAAGGATTAACTGGGGGAAAAAAGTGTAATCTACACATGTAAGGCGTGTGTAGACAAACTTTTGTTTGTGTCAGACAGAATTTGCATTCCCATACACGTCTACAGTAATTCAAAACCTAGTTAAAGCAGCCCAATGCAGGTCAGAAAGAGGTTAAATGCACCTACAAAAAAGAGGGAGGAGACAGGGGCACCAAAATGCCTTATAGTGTGGCATATGAGTTTATTGGACAAGTAAAAGCATCAATATAATGCACCCACGAGCAGTTCAGGGTATGTCACAGGTGAAGAGGATCCAACCCGAGAAAGGGCAAACACTTGGCCGAGCAAAGCAAGGATGTGGGACTCGGGAGTAGCAGTCACAACAAGTTCATTGAGGCTGCCTAGAGCCTCGCTCAGGAGCTGAAAGTGGAGCCTCTGGGATCTCTGCTGGACACCACTGTTGGATCTGTCAAAAGCACAATGGCTTGTGGAAAACTTGTTTCGAAGGCCAACACGCCTTGTTCCTCAATCTACCTGACAGCTAACCTGTTTATTGCAATTATTTATGGCGTACATTATGAACTGTCACCTGTGTCTGTTGATTCATCCACATATTACACCAATTACCTTGTTTCATTTCAAATTTCCTCTTCCTGCATTCTTACAAAAATAATTGTCATGAGAATATGATGTATTGCTATGCACAGACAATATCTGTCAGGATGTGAGGGGGTTTTTAGTAGAATGTTTAAGGGTTATAACCCCTGTCAAGTTTCTATTGCATTAAAGGGATACATCCTAGAGAAGCTTGGACTTCACTGCCCATTTATCCAGAGAAGTAAAGGGAAAAAGACAGTCATTCCAAGGACTCACTGCCTCTGGTTAGGTGGCCAACATGCAACCAGAGCTACACGCCAATGGAACATCACTCAGAGATGAAACCAAAGTACACTGCTGAGGCGGCACTGATAGGCAGCACTGATAGCCTACACTGAAGAGATGGCACTGGTGGGCATTGATGAGGAGGTAAAGATCATGCTGCAATGATATGCAGCACTATTAGGTGGCACTGACAGGCATAGATTGGCAGCACTGATGGGCACAGATTGGCAGCACTGCTGGGCACTTTTGGGGCTGCACTCATAATCAGGGCACTGATAATCAGTGCCTTGATTATCAGTGCAGATGTCTCCTTTGACAATTGGAAGCAGTAGTTTCCTCACGCTGTTACAGCTTGAGGAAAATACAACCAATAACCTACAAGTGTATTTACATGGTGATCACCTGTGATTGGACACAGCTGATCATGTGGTAAAAGGCCACTGTGTTTGGCCTTGTACCATGTCACGTGATCAGCTGTGTGCAAATGACACAGCAATCACAGACAGTTCTAGGTGCATGCTGCTTGGGGGCGTGTTCTGGGGAGGACGTCATATGACGTCCTCCCAGAACTGGAAGAAAGGGGTTCATTTGGCCTGGCATGCCTGCTGCTGGTTTAAGCTCTGAGGTTTCTTTTACTGTCTGTGTCTCCTTTGGGGATGTGTTACCTCACTTCCTATTCTAGTAGCAATCAAAACTTGGCAGAGGTTCTTACTGTCCCCGACTCTATTCAAAACTACAGAAAGGGATGTTTTTGTTAGAGTTGCACTTCAAATCACTCCTCGCAGGAATCCCATAAACTAGAGCCAATCTGGTCAGTAGCTAATTTACGTACCATTATGGGGCATGGGTATTACTGGGCATGCCTAAGTAGCAAATTGCCTGTGTGTTGGCAGGAGCAGGGGCGGACTGACAACTCATGGGGCCCCCGGGCAATAGGGGATCATGGGGCCCCTGTGTCCTTGCCCAAACTCAAAAAAGCCTATGAAAAAGGTACCAGGGGCATCTCATGGGGCCCCCTACTGACCCCGGGCCCTCAGGCAGTGCCCGAGTTTCCAAATGGTCAGTCCTCCCCTGGGCAGGAGTGTAAGTTTATGCATATACACTACTATACAAACGTTTTAGGCAGGTGTGAAAAAATGCTGCAAATGAAAAATGCTTTCAGAAATAGAAGTGTTGATTGTTTATTTTTATCAGTTAACAAAATAGAAATTAAATTGACAGAAGAGAAATCCAAGTCAAAACAATATTTGATGTGACTACCTTTGCCTTCAAAACAGCATCAATTCATCTAGGTACATTTGCACACAGTTTTTGAATGAACATGGCAGAGAGGTTGTCCCAGATGTCTTGGAGAACTACCACAGATCTTCAGTGGATGTAGGCGGCCTCATATCCTTCTGTCTCTTCATGTAATCCAAGACAGACTCAACACTGAGATCAGGGCTGTGTGGGGGCCAAACTATCACTTCCAGGACTCCTTGTTCTTTCTTATGCTGAAGATAGTTCTTAATGACATTGGCTGTATGTTTGGGGTCATTGTCCTGCTGCAGAATAAATTTGGGCCAATCACACACCTCACTGATGGTACGGTATGATGTATAAGTATCTGCATATATTTCTCAGCATTGAGGATACCATTGATCCTGACTTAATCCCTAACTCAATTTGCAGAAATACAGCCCCAAACTTGCAAGGAACCTCCACCATGCTTTACTGTTGCCTGCAGACACTCATTATTGTAACGTTCTCCAGCCCTTCGGTGAACAAACTACCTCCTGCTACAGCCAAATATTTCAGATTTTGACTCATCAGTCCAGACCACCTGCTGCCATTTTCTGCACCCCAGTTCCTCTATTTCTGTGCATAGTTGAGTCGCTTAGCCTTACCTCCATGTTGGAGTTATTGCTTTTTGGGCACAATTCTTCCATGAAGACCGCTCCTGGCCAGATTTCTCCAGACAGCAGATGGGTGTACCTGGATCCCACTGGCTATTTGCCAGTTCTGTGCTGATGGCACTGCTGGACATCTTCTGATGTCAAAGGGAAGTAATCTTGATGTGTCTTTCATCTGCTGTTACCAAGTTACCGTGGCTAACCACTGCATCTACAGTCCTCAACATTGCCTGTTTCTTTGTGTTTATACAAAAGAGCTTAAACAACACATCTTAAAACCCCAGTCTGCTTTGAAATCTTTGCCTGGGAGAGACCTTGCTGATGCTGTATAACTACCTTCTGTCTTGTTGCTGTGCTCAGTCTTTCCATGGTTGTATGACCTGTGACATATGACATGAAACTGTCTTCCACAACCTCACCTTAGCAGCAGAGAGTTTGGCTGTTCCTTACCCAGTTTTAGGCATCTTACACACCTGTTTCTGCTCAGTTAATGACTGTGTTTCACCTACATGTGAAATTGATGATCACTTAGCACCTGCTTGGGATAATTGGTTAATCATACACCTGACCCTAATCTTATAAAATTCCTGACTTTGTGCAAGTATACAAAGTGTGTAAGTAGGAATTGATGCTGGTTTTGAAGCCAAATATTACTTTGACTTAGATTTTTCTTCTGTTTTCTCACTTGGCATTCTGTAAATTGATAAAAATAAACAATTAAAACATATATTTTTAAAAGCATTCCTACTTTACAGCATTTCTTCACACCTGCCTAAACCTTTTGCTGTATGTTCAGTCATTGGATTAACAATTGTAACATACAGTATATAATATTGCACTACGTTTATGCTTGTATACTCTTTTTAGAAACATGCAACCTCTGTGTGTCCTGATGAAGCAGCTCTTTTCTGCAAAATGTGTGTAGAGATATATTATCCCACCTTGGGTGTTGTAACTTGGTGTTAATATAATTAGTGGGATATTTTTGTAGTTGGTTATGCACTGAAACTTTGTTAGTAAACTATACAATACTTTAAATAGCTACCAATTTAGAATAATGTAAATAAATGTATTTAGAAAATGTATTTAGATATTTGACTGGTGATTGTAGATACTTGGCACCTTTTTAAAATCCCCATATTTTGTTCATTTTACTTGTCCTCCATATACAATGGTGCCATAAATGTAGTAAAAATAAATCCCTATTTACATTTGAATACACGGAATGTTGACAGGAGTGTTGTAAAAAAGGGTTCAAAAACCTACTGGAGGGCATGTGTATTGGATTATGGAAACAGCCAACTAAAACATATACTTTCTGCAGTATACAGTTGTGTTCAAAATAATAGCAGTCAGACATCACTAACCTGATCAATCACTGTTTTTGGTAGAAATGATATTTCTACATGGCAAAATAATTTACTAGCAGGTGTAGTAGAGTAATAGAAATCCAACAGACCCAACAGTCATGACATGCATGCTACTGATTCTGTGTAATTGAATCACTAATTGAAAGGGGCATGTTCAAAATAATAGCAGTCTAACATTGTGGAGTTCTATTAGTGAGGTCATTCATTCTGTGAAAAACAGGTGGCAATTATTGCCCTTATTTAACCATTTCAATACTGGGCAATTTTACACCTTCCTGCCCAGGCCTTTTTTTCACGTTTAAGCGCTCTCACACTTTGAAAGACAATTGCGCAGTCATACAACATTGTACCCAAACTAACATTTTATCATTTTCTTCACACAACTAGAGCTTTCTTTTGGTGGTATTTAATCACCGCTGGGGTTTTTATTTTTTGCTAAATTAACAAAAAAAAAAGACTGAACATTTTGAAAAAAAACACGTTTTTCTTTGTTTCTGTTATAAAAGTTTGTAAATAAATAAGTGTTTCTTCATAAATTTAGGCCGAGATGTATTCTGCTACATGTCTTTGGTGAAAATAACCCAAATTAGGATGTATTTTTTAGTTTGTAGGAAAGTTATAGAGTTCACAAACTATGGTATAGATCATAGAAAATTGATCAATCCTGAAGTACTGACAGCCAATCTAATTTCTTGAGGTCCAAGAATGTCAGAACAGTACAGATATCCCCCAAATTACCCCTTTTTGCAAAGTAGACAGTCCGACGTATTTCATAAGAGGCATGGCGCATTTTTTAAAGTTGTATTTTTTTTGTCATAATTTTTTGGAAAATTAAAAAATTAAAAAAATTATTTTCACTATTTTTTTTTTACATACTGTCACCAGTGCAGTACAGCGTCGTCATATAACTGGCATGGCGGTGAACAGGGACACTGACTGGTGACAGTATGAAAAAAAAAAAAAATATATATATATTTTTTTTTTTTTTATTATTTTTAATTTTTTATTACATTTTTTAAAATTTTTTTAAAGATTTTTTTTCATATTTTACTATGACCAAAGTAGTACAATGTTACCATAGTAACATTGTACTACTTTGGGGAAGTGATCAGTATTTTTTTTTTTTTTTACACAATTTGCTTATAGCAAAGAATTACTTTGCTATAAGCAAGCATTTACCAGAATCAAATCGATTCATTCAGGTTTTTTTTTTTTTGTTTTTTTTTTTTGTGCTTAGCTGTGATTTGCCCACAGCTAATCACATGACATGTGCATGTGACCTGCTGTGACCATTCACAGCTAGGCACTAGTATACAATGGATGACATGAATGAAGCCATCCATTGTATACAACTGTCATGTGACCTGCTGTGATTGGTCACAGCAGGTCACATGGTACTGGCAACGGGGACGGTACTCAGATCTGTCATCGGCCGTGTCCGAGGTACACGGCCGGTGACAGATCGCGCCGCTGCGCGGCTCTACAACCACGTGAACTGCGCATGTGCGGGAGCCCGCCAAATGGCGTGCACCCGGAAAGGTGAAGCATTTTTGCCGCCGCCAAACGGCTATAGGCCCTGGGCGGCTAATGGTTCAGGAAGGAAGGCAGCAAATGTTGTACAAGCTGGTTACAGTGCATTTCTTTCTGAAATTCTGAGGAAAATGGGTCGCTCCAGACATTGTTCAAAAGAACAGTGTACCTTGATTAAAAAGTTGATTGGGAGAGGGGAAAACATATAAAGAAAATGATAGGCTGCTCAGCTAAAATGATCGCAAATGCTTTAAAATGGCAACCAAAATCTGAAAAGATGTGGAAGAAAGCGAAAAACTACCATTCGAATGGATAGAAGAATAGCCAAAATGGCAAGGACTCAGCCAACAATCAGCTCCAGGAAGATCAAAGAAGGTCTAAAGTTACCTGTGAGTACTGTTACAATTAGAAGACGCCTATGTAAAGCCAAGCTATCTGCAAGAAGCCCCCGTAAAGTCCCACTGTTGAAAAAAAGACATGTGCTGAAGAGGTTACAATTTATTTATTATTATTATTATACAGTATTTATATAGCGCCAGAAAGGTTTGCTCAGCGCTGTACATTATAGTGGGGGACAGAACATGAGACAATACAGTAACAAAACAATACACGAGGGGTTCGAGGGCCCTGCTCTTCCAAGCTTACAATCTAGGAATTTGCCAAAGAGCACATTGACTGGCCTAAAGAGAAATGGCGCAACATTTTGTGGACTGATAAAAGTAAGATTGTTCTTTTTGGGTCTAGTGGCCGGAGACAGTTTGTCAGACGACCCCCAAACACTGAATTCAAGCCACAGTACACTGTGAAGACAGTGAAGCATGGTTGCGCAAGCATCATGATATGGGGATGTTTCTCATACTATGGTGTTGGGCCTATTTATCGCATACCAGGGATCATGGATCAGTTTGAATACATCAGAATACTTGAAGAGGTCATGCTCCCTTATGCTGAAGAGAAAATGCCCTTGAAATGGGTGTTCCAGCAAGACAACGACCCCAAACACACCAGTAAACGTGCAACATCTTGGTTCCAGACCTACAAGATTGACATTATGGAGTGGCCAGCCCAATCCCCGGATCTTAATCCAATAGAAAACTTGTGGGGTGACATCAAAAATGCAGTTTCTGAGGCAAAACCAAAAAATAGAGAAGAACTGTGGAATGTAGTCCAATCATCCTGGGCTGGAATACCTGTTCACAGGTGCCAGAAGTTGGTTGACTCCATGCAACACAGATGTACAGCAGTTCTCAGAAACAGTGCTTATACAACTAAATATTCATTAAGTGATTCAAAGGAAAGCAAAATCTTCAA